ATATATATATATATATATATATTGACATATAAAAATTATAAGAAATGAAGCAAGTATAGGTAACAGTTTTTTTTTGTATTAATACTGTGACAAAGGTTGCTCAAGTTGTGCTTTCTACTCTCAACCTTAAGGGTTGAGGTCAGCGGATTGAAACGTCACTGTGCATTTTGCTTGTGTCCTTGTAAAATTGGATGCTTTCCACAATCATTCCTCCATTCAGAAATAAATAGAATAGAGTTACCTGGTAGGTTGTTTATAATAAGAAATTCTGCAGGCCCAAATGAGGCAAGTTGTGGCAAAATGGCTAAGTTGTAGCAAAAATTAAAATTCAAGTTATTTGTATTTCCAGATACCTGAGTATATAATCTTTAAAATGAGGGGTCATTCATTGAAATTGGACATTCCAAGCCTAAGTTATTAGAAAGTGAATGTACAGCATTCTTTGACCCAAGATAAACATGATTTTGAGTAATTGCCTTCTAAAGTTATTTGTGTATACATTGCTTAATAAAATTAACAATCAAAATAACGTTAAATAAATGATTTGTTGACCATTTCCAGAACTATTACTTATGACATGATTAATAAGACATTAAACTGTTGATCTATAATGAAAAACAAATTTAGATTATTTGAAATTTTTTGAGCTTCTATATTTTATAGCTCATTTACTCAATACTGGTCTGTGCGACAACTTGACCATTTCGCCACTACATGCCACAAATATTTATTTATATCAAAAATATTTTGTTAGGGTTGTTCGCCTAATCACATACCCTGTATAGGGCTTGTAATCTAATTTAATTAATAATAAATATGAATCTATATGATACTATTTTAATATATATTATATTAAAGTGTCATCAGTATGGAAAAATTCCATCATAAAAAATGCAACTTACCAAATCCCTTTCCTATAGCTATGGCTTCAAGGAATCCTATCAGAGGCACAACAGCGATTCCAACACTTAACACCTGGAAATGGTTAGGAATAAATAGTAAAAGATAAAATATAAATTTCATAATTATTCATTTTTGTGCCAGTTTGTGACCTCAAATCAACGATGTAAGCATTATGAGGCTAAAAAAAAACAAACAAAAAAAACGGAGGTGTAATTAATGCCTCTTTAAAAAATAATTGCATTTACCTCTATTAAACCTGGAAGCTTAAAATCTGGTAGACTAGGTGCTGGTAGGCCCTCGGGAACCTCACCTGTTAAGGTGATCTTGTCGCCCTTCCCCGAGGCATCTAGGGCTAGAGCTATTAGTCCTGATGCCAGCACTACAATGGCATTCCGAGCTACAAAAGCAAAATAATTTAAAAAGTGAGTACATAAATTTTTTGTTGTAACATTTGTGTGTATCATAGGACATGATTTTACACCAGTATCTTAAGGCACAACTGTTTCATATACATTGCTTAGTGAACACGCTGCCCACCAATAATGATGATTTTGAATAAAAATAAAATTTCATTTTTGGCCAATCAGTGTACCTGCCACCTCGAAAAAATGGAAATTTCGAGAAAAAAAAGTTTTCCTTTATTTTTATTATGCCTGCCCGGTTGCTTTGAAATCTCCAAAAATAAGATCTACAGTATATTTCTTCTGAATTATATAAATTTAAAGCATTTAACCATCCCATTACTACACTGTTTATATTCACCAATGAATTTTTCTTTTCTTTTTTGGCCTTTTTTTTATTTTCGCCCTCCTCTGACGATTTAAAAAAAAAGAAAGTTCAACAAGGTGTAAAAGTCTACTTGATTCATAAACTTTATTTTTCAACGTACAAATCATACAGAAAAATTTGGGTTGGCTGAAATGCAAAAAAACTACATACACAAAACTATGTAAAAATATATAACCACAGGGCCACATACCTGTACCTAAAAGCCAGAGAAATTTATATAAAACTATATAACGAGTCGGTGCATTGTGGTCATTTTCTTGCCACTTCATTGAACCACTTTTTAAAAGCTGAAAGGAAATGGTAATATTAAATCTAATTACTAGAAATTGCAAAATGCAAGTGAAGTGCTGCGAAGTACAACTGCATATAAATGTTCTTCGAACAAAATTATTTATGCGAGTCAAGTGAAAATAATGAATAATAAAAATATAACAAATAATATGAGACACGACCCATTGTCTATATTAGAACACTTCTCATTGGGTAACAAAGTCGTAATTTTTCATTTTTGTCAAAAAGTGTCTATAGTGGTTATTATGGTTTAGGTTTTTTTAAATAAAGTTTCAAAAATTTCTATGTATGTAGAAAATGGAGTTGATTACCAAAGGTTACAAATTTTTATTTTGAAGACTGCATGGTCTAGGAAGTGTACATTTTTTTATGGGGCAAGTTTCCAAGGGCGGGTTTTCCATGGGTGAGTTGACTACCAAAGAGTGTTGCCAAAGTGCAAGCCAGCGTGTTATTTGATCACAAGTGCGAGACATCGCAAGTGTGAGCCAGCGAGCCATGACGTCACGACAATAGATACAAGACGTTACTCGAGTTGTGCGAGGTATCGGCTGAGATTTGTGGAGTACAATTCAAAAAACAACTGTGTGATATGACATCATAATGGCCATATATGGGTGTGATATGACACCATAATGCCCATTATATGGGTGTGACGTGACATCATAATGCCCATATATGGGGCCAATCATGCTAATCTTTCAGACACAAATCACACGGCACTTGGCCAGGTACTTTACTGTATATATTTTTCTCTCTGGTATAGCCAACCTTTATTATCATTTCGACTACAATGGGTATATGACACCATCATTGCCCATATGGGTGTGATATGGCATCATCTTATCCATATATATAGGGCAGTCATATATATTTTCCACTTGGCCTGGTATTCTATTGTACAGATGTATATTTGTCTCTCTGGTTTAACATAGCCAACATTTATTGTTTTACTATTTAATTTAGTTTTGTATTTCAAGAGAATGACCTCATTTTCTTTATATCTCATTATAGTTTGTACATCACATGAAAAACACACCATCTTGTGATATGTCAAAATAAATCCAAGTGTTTCAATAAAACATTGGACAAAGAAGGTACTACAATGAGAACAACCATTACTTGCTAGGTCAGTTGAAATTTATAGGTTATGTAATTCTATTTTATATTCTTTTGCATTAATATTTATAATATTAAATGAATAATGAATTAAGAGAACCAGATAGATTTGCTTTATGCTGGTAGTCTGTCAGCAATTTTAAGCAAACAACCTCATTAATTTGTATAATTTATTTGCATCAGTTGGCAGAAAATTCAGACATTATTCACAATGGTGCTGGTGTGATATCAGCATCAGAACATGTCACAAGTCACTCATAAGACCCTGACAAACTCAAAAGCTAATATTTGAAGAGGATCCATTCACTTTTGGTATCAGGTCAAACATTTTGAAGTTTGATATTAATTTTGATTATTATGTTCATATACTGTACATCCTGGGTACGATGTTAATGTCCTGGGTGCAATGTTATAAATTGCATCTATTTGAGCTGTAGGCGACTGAATCTGGCAACCTTATTTGGTGGCCTTTGCGGCCGCTGCAACCTTTTCTAGCCTAACAACCATAGCTCCATTATATGTGAACGTTTCAGTCAGTTGTATAAGAAAAAGTGGCTGGGGGTTAGAATTCCACGAAAACCTATAGTTCTCTGTGGTCTAATAGGTATGATATTCACCTTGACAGCAAGTGGCTGCTGGTTTGAATCCTGCCAGAGACACTTTTTTTCATACTGAAATAATGAACTTTTTGTTGAAGGGCTATGCTCAATACGATTATAATAAACTATTAGACAACTGGCCTATAATCCATCTACAGCACAATTGTATTGTTTATATTGTACAGTATACAACTTGCAACAGCCAATCTTGTGCATTCAGTAAAGCTGATGAAGGCCAGAGGACTGGCTGAAAAATTTTTTCAAAAATAAATACAGTGTTAAATAGTCTACATGCCAATGACTGATATATAATTTGAAGAACACACATGGATTTACAACGATATGCTGTGTAGCAGCAAGTAAAAAGATAATAATAATAATAATAATAAAATAACAATACTTCAGGGTGTATTGTTTATGCTGGTAGTGTAAAATAATATACTGTACTATAATGCAATTGGTCAGCTGAAGTCTATATTCTTATATATAGCCTACTCTAAAACATTATGACATCAGTAATTATTATTATATATATATATATATACAAAGACTGGATTATTGTTTGTGCTGGTACTGTCTAAGCAACTTACTTTTAATAGGAGTAGTACAATCAAGGCCATTGAGCCTAGCAGGAGATCCCATCCACTGAAAGAACAATGGTGTAAAATTTAAACAGTTGCATGTGTGTTTTTTAAATGGTAATAACCTTTTACACATGGAAACTGTTGAAATGATGTGCTTTGGGGTCATTAACCTTGACATCAAGGGTCAAATCCAATGCTATCATTTTTAATGCATGTTCCTTAGGCAATGTTAATCCATGTCAGTCCCTCTGTAAAATATAAGTACGTTTAATATGTAACTTTTTTATAATCTTTTTTTGAACGGAAACCTTAAATCGCGACAATTGACTGATTGATTGATTGATTGACTGAAAGGCACTGTAGGGTTTGATCATGACCTGAAGTGTAAACTCCCAGGGAAGTGATGTGGTTGCACCTTATTGTACATGTTTGGAGTAATAAAGTTACAAGCACTTTAATGGCATTTAAATATTTAAAAAAAAAAAAATTAATGTGTAAAAAAATTAATGTTATACCATTTTAATTATATAACAATGCATATTATAATGTTTTCACTACAAAAACATTACAACTGTAAATGAATATTGTGGTACAGTGGTAATGCTTTAGATATTGAGTCAAAGTTAGGAAAATTCAATACATATGATGATATATTATTATGACAATTATTATCATATGATTTAGATAAAATAGTGTGGATTAAATATTATGACTTCTAGTCTCAGTAGATTTAAACAGACTAAAATAAGCATATTTTGTATATACAAGGCCAAATAAAACTAATTTTTGGTTCAACATCCGGGATTTTAAATTATTTTTTAATGAGGGTATTAACTTTTAAGCATTTTTTTTTATGAGACCCTAAAATATGATACGAGTGGAGACGTGAAATTAGCTAGTAATTTTATTTGGCCTAAATGGTAAACAATACTTACTTGGTGTCCTTAATATTTTTAATAATACCAACAACATTTTCATAAAATGAATCAGCATGAAAGCTAATGCCTAATAAATGTTTAACTTGTCCGATTCCGATGGTCAAAGCAGATGCGGTTGTGAACCCTGAGATGACGGTCGCCGAAATAAAACTAGTCAACGTCCCTACGGTAAAAAAGAAAATTTATTTAAAGGTTATTGCCTTGTCCACCCTAACAAATTTAATGTGACAAAGTTGTTTGACCTGCCCAATAATGGGCATAATAATGTCATGAAATTTGCCTTCTTTTCTTAATTGCTATTTAATACTATATACTTTATACATAGATTCTAAGCATCTGATTGGTTAAGAAGCAGGCAATAGAAAGTACTATTTCCCTTTCACCATTCCTCGAATCTCCGAGCAGTCCATTTTTGTATACTATCATATCTGGAAGCTTTTGAAATGCGGACATTCAGAAGGATGGAGAGAATCAGTTGGAAAGACAAACCAACAAATGAACAAGTGCTTTACAGAGTAAAGGAGATAAGAACTTTATTAACTCTATGATAAAAAGCAGAAAGAATTGGATCGGTCTTTTGAGAGATAATTGAAGGAAAAATAGAAGGAAAGCAGCCTCAAAGAAAAAAGAGTATAAATGATTTTAGATGACCTAAAGGAAACAAATAAAAGCTTTGCCATCATGAAAACAGGGTTCCCATATTGAAAGAATTAATTGCAATAAAAAATAAATTAATATATAATAAATAAATTGAATTTTAATCTTTATAAAATTGACAAAGTGCAATTATTAATAAATTAATTAATAATAAATTCAAATTCTAATCTTTTTTATATTGCAATGTTTGCACATTACATCTGTTCACTTTAGAGACCCGGTTTGCGCAGTATAAATGTATAACATTTAACCTTTATAGAGACTCACCTAAATGTAGAACTCCAAGGCCTATTTGAATCAGCCCACATATACATGCAAGTGTTATTGCATAGGCCGGGTCGTTATTGGCATTTGGGTCTGTACTGTTGGAGGTTCCATACGAGGAGACAAGTAGCGACATAATAGCAGTCGGTCCAACGGTTATATCTTTAGACATTCCAAGAAAGAAGTACGCAAAACATCCCATAAACGACGAGTATAAACCATACTAAGGAGAAAGATTTTTAAGCAATCATACAATTGAAAAGATTCATTTTCTTTTTTTTTGAGTTGATACACAAAAGTTACTTAACTTACTTAAACAAAAACTGAAAGACAATACGTCATTTATAACAATAAGAAAATACAATATTTTCAACAAGAACAAATTAACAAATCGGAGGCACTATTGAATTAGTGATTGATCAGGGATAGAAAAATTCAGTGCAAAGTAAAATGATGACGTAACCACTGACTTAAAATGCAATTTAGATCGGGAAAGAATATGCCTTTAGAGTAATGATGATGTTAGGTCAGCTCTGAACTGTGATAATCTACAATGGTGCTTACAGAATATATTACTTGTTCGAGGTCAGATTAATAGGTCCATATTTGGCATATACTTTAGAGGTGGATCCAGAATTTTTCAAACGAGGCGGGAGGGGCGACGAGGAGGACAACAGTTTTAGAGTAGATAAGTGAGTAGCACATAACATTGATTTGGATTGAAATTTTTAAAATTTAGTGGCAAAAAGGGGGAGGGGAACCCCCTACTGGATCTTCCCCTGTACTGTACAGTACAGTCAATTCAAGAACAGTATATCCATGTTTCCAATGAAAGTTGAACTTATTATAATAATATATATGTTGGTTTATAATATATATGTAGGTTTATAATAATAATAATAATAATAATAATAATAATATGTAGGTTTTTATATAGTGCTTTATACAACTAAGTCTCAGAGCGCTTTTCCACATTATTACCCCAGTCATTGGAACGATGCCTATGGGGGAAACTCCATAGTTTGCTGCATGAAATATTTCAGCGCATTTTTCCCTCGAACCTCCTTTGGTTCCCACTTATATTCCTGGGTAGAGAGAAGCAATGCAGATAAAGTGCCTTACTCAAGGACACAAGCAAAATGGACAGCGAGGGATTGAAAACCCGACTTCAAGATTGGGAAACCAAACCTTTCCCGCTGCGCCAAAAACGCTTCCACTTAAACTTACCTGAGGGGCCAACCTAGCGATACTTGCATATGCAAGTCCTTGCGGCAGCACCGTAAGTGCAACCGTTATTCCAGCAACAATGTCGTTGATGGTGTAACTGCTTTTATAATGTGGTAACCAGATGGTGATGGGAAAACGCGCCTTCCATGATTCCTTGGAACAGTAGTCAGAAACCTTTTCCTTTGCCTGATCCATGTCTAAATGGAATCGTCAATCCAACTTTGCCAGGAAATTAATTACTGTACAAAGATTGAAAATGTCTGTTGAGGAGGGCTCTGTCTTGCCCACTCCCCAATGTTCTCAATTAACTAATTTTTCCATTACCTGTATAGATAGAAATATAAATTTGTATTTACAATGGCTATATAACAGAATTCTTAATAACAATAATACTGTATAATATGTAAATTAACAGTAATTAATACTTGATTCATCATTTGTAAAGCAGAAATTGAATTGAATTTGTTGAAACATGAGAGGGGGTCCATTCCAATTGTAAAAGTGTCCCTATATCTGTTAATCCATAACAGGTGTACTATATATGTGGCAAAGACAAGCCAAACCAGTCACTCGTCGCAAATCCTGTATTGGAGATAATGGCCAAAACATGCTGGAATGTCTTTTGGAAATCTATTTTATTGCACTAAACTAACCTTTATATATCTATACATCATGCTATGCTGTTATTTTTCTCATTTTCAATGTTAAAACAACAATTTTTAACAATTTGGTGATGGTTTCTGCCTAAGAAATGCCTAAAATCGTAAACTTTGAAGGCTGATTTCTCAAATATTGTTCTTTGAACAGCTGTATGTTTAAACTCGGTGTAACTTCATAACCAAGTGTCGGATTTAAATGATTTTTTTTACCATTTTATAGCTCTCATTGTACTGTTAAACCCCTGTATTAATAACTAAAAATTGATTTTTCCGACGAGTGACTGGTTTGGCTTGTCTTTGCCACATATGCTGATGACACATTGTAGTTATACTAATTATCAATTTTCTAAAGATGCAAGTTTATTTATCAGTGAAGTACTGTACGTGTACTTCATTTTTTTTTTTCAATTCAATTATTATGCCTCACAGATATACAACAGCTTAGATCGCAAAACATTAAAAGAAAAAACAAACACAAACAGGTAGACAGGATTCCTAAAAAGTAAACCAAATCACTATATGGTATGGTAGGTCTCCCATTGCACTCTTAAGGTCTCCCATTGTACTAACATTTTATTTTTGGAATGCTGTAAGTACAGTATAAAGTACTTTTCAGTGGCTATTTTTATACCAGTCTTATATCATTTTTTCATTCTGTTCATTCTGATTGGACGTTATATTTTGCTAATTGAATCCATTACAATCTTTACGACTGCAAGCACTAAAAGAACGAGACCGAAAAGTTAAGCTGGGGACACACTGTGCTTTTGGCAGAATGAAGGGCAACAAATCGTTTTTAATGACAATCAGCTCAGACTGCAAATGAACATCAGTCGTACATCAGTTGTGCTACACCGTTTGTGCCCGGTTTAATTATACATTATTTCGTACTCGAAACCAAACTGCTAGCTAACAAGAGCGACCGCTCACCGGTTCACGCGTTAAACTGAAGTTACCTCTATTCAGCGTGTAACGCTTCGGGTATGCACCTTTCAGACGAGGCTTTTTGTTGACAATATAAATACATGCTTAAATAATGGAGGAAATGCTTAAATAGTTACACAGTGGCGTAAGCTATTACCTTGGGTTTTCGGCAAGGATCCATAATTGTTATTAATTACTACCATAATCAGAAGAAAAAAAATTAATTAATTAAAAAAAAATGCCTTAAAATTGAAAAAAAAAAAAAATTGAATACCAAGACATGATTTGAACTCATGACTTTTGGTTTCAAAGAACACATTGTTAACTGCCCGTGCCATCCATGCTACGTGTACAGTCCTGGCTGAATCCCTTATTCTGTTTTGTAGGTGTATGGGGTTACCCTGGGATTCAACTTAAAAAAAGGACCATGAATGTTTTTTGGAAATCACCTCTAGTTTATGTGTACAAAATGAGGCATGTTGTGGCAAAATGGCTAAGTTGTAGCAAAAATTGAAATTCAAGTTATTGGTATTTTCAGATACCTGAGTATGTAATCTTTAAAATGAGAGGTCATTCATTCAAATTGAACATTTCAAGCCTAAGTTATTGGAAAGTGAAAGTACAGTACTCTTAGAGTCAAGATAAACAGGATTTTGAGTAATTGCATTTCAAAGTTATTTGTGCATACACTGTTTAATAGAACGAACTATGAAAAATAACGTTAAATAAACAATTTGTTAAACCGCTTTCAGAACTAATACTTTGGGATATGATTAATGAGACATTAAACTGTTTGATCTAAAGTGAATAACAAATTTGGGTTTTTTAGCAATTTTTTGAGCTCCCATATTTAATAGCTCATTTACTCAATACTGGACTGTGCGACAACTTAACCATTTTGCCACAACATGCCTCAAATTTCTTGCACATCCGTTAAAAACTGGCGATGCTGGATACTTTTAATAAACAACAAGAAAAAGTGAGGTTCTGTGGTCGGATGTGTGTGGACCCAAAAACACAAATTTCATCCACTGTGCCACCAGCTCTCCTTGTTTAAATATACCATTGTATTAATAATTGCAGGTAAAATTAATTAATGGTAATTAATAAAGGTAATTGCACAGCTGCTATTAATGACCATCATTTCTGGACTTACATGGAAATCAATATATTATAATTAATTTCTGTGTATAGGTCAATAATGGATCCACCATTTTATTTGATAATAATCTAATTTGATTAATTTGGTTATAACAGAGTTTTTATAATATAAGAGTAATATAATGAAAATATAATCATATTATAAATGATTCTACAGTAAGTTAATAAATTAAGATTAAAATTTAATACTATATACGGTATACAAGATACCAGACTAGTACTACATATCCCTAAAAACTGTTTCATAAATATTTTTCAGAAGAAATTCATATACCTATATCTGAGCATTGCAGTATGAGCATAGTGACTGGACCCTGGAAAAAACAATACACTCACCTTCAGGGAAGATAAACATAAACAATAGGATTTGTGATCAGTTGTGATCAATACTAAACAGTATTCTTGCTCACCTGTAGAATCCACCATAATTCACATCAAATGGAATATACTCAAAATAACAATGATATTTTTGTGAACACATTTTTCCTAAAATCCCGGGAATGTTAAATTTAATGCTGACATCGATTACACTGCCAATAAATTAATTACAACCTTAAATAATGGCAGTATACTACTGAAAATAGAAAGGACATCAAAACTAACCTGTATTCAGCGAAATGTATTTACAGTACTGTTATCATTCATCAAAATTGTATAATAACTATTAAAACTACATTGTTTGTACAGCGGTTAAAAGGACTGTCTTGTTTTGCTTGGATATTGGCTGGTGGTCTTGTATTGTATTAATGGCCATATCCTCTACTTATAAATTTTAATGTTTTTTCTGCCCCAGGATACATGAGTGCCAAGTCTACCAGCAATTTATTTATAGCGCAATTCACAATTTGATAAATACATTCCAAATGAAACTAAAAACTAACACAATTGTATACAGCTTAACTATAATGTTTTCTTCGAATTCTGAGCAATTATAATACAGGTCTCCCTCAATACGGTAACAACTACTTTTGGGACGGGGGTTTCAATGTTCATTAGCAGCTTTGGCGAATAAAAAAAAAGAAATTAGTTAATTTGAGACCACAGAAAGGTGATCTCTAATTGGAGGTGTTCTTATAATTAGAGGAAGACCTGTATAGCCTACAGTATGCAAAATGATTTAAAAGAATATAAAATTGTATACATGTAGAATTAAATATTCTCTTTAAATTCAATTGGGTACAATAATCTTCTGTGTCTGTATATTCAGTTTGTTGTTCTTCAAGATAAGTGTCATAGTTACAATTCAGGAAACACACATACACAAAGCAAGGAAGGATATTATCAATCACCAACAATTATCCAACTGACATGACACTTCTACAGCATGGAGTTACATTAAATTAATAATTTAATAATTAGATAACTCCCTGTTAGTATTAAAATAATCATGATTTACATTCTCTATAAACATCCGACTTCCATACAGAATATCTTGTCCCCAGAACCGGTTGTGACTCATAATTTCAATAGGGAGATTTGATTTGTGCGACAATGCGACGTTTTTGACGATTCGACATTTTGCGACGATCGGATCCAATCATGCGTGACCGTACTATGTTCTCTGCACAATGTAGATGTGGTCATATTGTGTCCTAGAATCCACACGAAGTTCTCGCATGCGCAGGTGACATTTTAGTGACATCATTACATTCTACGTCGTGCAATCGAAAGCTACCTACCTGGGGTCTGCTTCGTCGTTTCAACTGTAGTGTGCACTGTACATTTGACAATCATTATTTATTCATTACTTTTGTATATTAGTATTACAGTATTTTTCAGGGAAATGCAAAAGTAAAAATTAAGGTAGGCCTAGAGGTTGCAATACTACAAACAATTGATTTATATATCCCTTCGCCATATAGGTGCCTAGATGTCCTGATTTATCGATTAGCTCCAAACTCGTATGTCAGAACATAATAATTATAAAATATTTTTACGTGATTCAACCACCCACAAAGTGCGAAAGTGCATTAGCGCCTATAAACTTAGCCTAGGCCTAGCCACAAGCTATAGCTACCGTCTGAGACCCTGAACAGGCAGGGTGCCATGCCACCCTGTTCTATCTGGGCTATGGCAGGGTACGGCCTAGGGCCTAGGCCTAGTAGTAGACACGCCAGACGAAAGGGACAGTAAACCAAACTTGTTTCGAATTGAGAATATGGGTATACAAGTCACAAAAAATATAAATTCATAGCAAACCTTGGTTTTAACCAACAAAAATCAATCGGTTTTTTCGTCTCTCATTTCTCAGTCCACACAACAGCCAACACACAAACCACGTACCTGCACAGACTACGGTGGTACGCTCAAAAAAAGTTTCCCTGGCTGGAGCTGATCATGTGATGTTTTGTCACATGATCTTGTATGCTCCACAAAACTTTTCACTTGATTGACGCGTGTTGTACTGGAACGTCCAAAAGGGATGTTTAGATTTATCTATGATTAAAGTACCAATTTCAAGTATAAGTTACCAGAAGCGCAATGTTTGAGCTTAAAACAATTTTGCTGATAGCCGTCGTGTACTTACTTCGTTGTGAAGCGAAGAGTGGCAACGTTCTTTTAATTATTGGTATGCGTATTTATTGAAAGCCTACCTAGATAGCCTAGGTGGCCTCGCCTAGTTAGTGTAGTTAGGGCGGCCTAGGCTAGGCTGAGAGAGAGCTTCCCTCTGCCCGAGCAACAAGGCCGTGGCGAGCAGTAGACGACGGCGGGTGCTTTGCTCATTCTAGTTATTAATGTTTGGAAGAGCTAGAGACCTTACTACAGATGCTGTAGCCTCTGCTGACTGATAATATAATCGGCTAAACTAATTATAAAAATATATCAATAATTTTAGGGAAAAAATCACCTCAACGACAACTGTGTTGCTGTATTGTTTGTTAAGCCCTAGCTATGGCTAGGCTAGATAACACTGTCTGTGTGCATATGATTAAGCTAGATAACACTGTCCGTGTGCATATGATTCCGACGATTTTACAAATCCAAAGTGATTGATTCAGTCTCGCTATCTTAAGCAGTATGACTTTACAATTTCCATTTCCAGAATTAAAAAGATGAAGGAAAAAAAATCGAAAAATTAAATAGCTTTAAATTTAATTTTGCATAATGGATAGATTTTTAGTTTTATAAGTTTCTAGATAGTAGTAGTGGTATCTCACTCTGCATGTAGTAAAGATATGTGAAATTAAATTAGTGAAAAAACTCTCATTATATTTTACATAATCCTTTGATGAGGTTGAGCTATTTAATGTTTTTTAATTGAAAATGATACCATCTCCAGGTATCAGCCAAGCAATCACTAACTAACTGTGAAACTGTGAAACCTTTTTCATGAGGGATTACCTAAGTCTCAAAAGCTTCCAGGTCCTCAATCGCCATTTTTGCCACCCTGGCAAAAGAAGTCACTGTGCTAAATGCATCACATGCATTAATTAATTGTAACATATTTCATTTTTACTTGATCTTCTTAGGTGATGATGATGGGTTTGCATCCCAAGTATACAACAACACCGCTATCAAGACTCCTCACTTCAACAAACTTTCTGAACGAAGTCTAACCATCAAGCATGCTTACACCAGCGTCAGCAGCTGCTCGCCAAGTCGGTCTGCCATCTTAACTGGTCTGCCTCAGCATCAGAATGGCCAGTACGGCCTTCATCACTCATTTCACCATTTCCAGTCCTTTGACAAAGTGCAGAGCCTACCACTTATGCTCAAGAGTAGTGGAATAAGAACAGGTATGCTGTAACAGATTCAAAGGGGGGGGGGGGAATGAGCTGGCCTTAACCCCTCCTAGATTTTTCAAAATTATAAATAAAGTGGAGAAAAATAAAGGAAAAGAATAATTAAATTTAATCCTGAGAGTGCCATTTCCGGCAATCTAGAGGTGCCATGATAATTTATTTTCTTACCATGGTTTGGGCTTAGGTGGTCTAGAATGTCTGTCTGTGAAAGTCCCTCCATGGGTGCCTCTATTTCAAATTTTTGGATCTGCTACTGGGTAAGGGACCTTTTGAAATGTCAATCAAATTGAAAAATAGATCAATCAGAACAGAGCGAGGAACAGACACATGTCCTGCAAGCACAAGTTGACTGTATATTTTTTCGGAAATTTAATCATGAATTTTAAATTTTAATATTTTTTTTAGGTATCATTGGAAAGAAGCACATTGGACCAGACACAGTGTACAAGTTTGACCATGAATGGACAGAGGAGGAATATTCCTTGCTCCAAGTTGGCCGAAATATTACCAACATGAAAAACCTTGTTCATAAATTCATCACGATGGATAGTGGGTAATTGGAACTTTCAATAAATTTAAACTTAGTATGTTCTTGTAGAATCGACTCAACTACAAGCATTGTAAGGTAGTCAAAAGTAGCATGTTTTATGGGGATGGGTCCAGGTGGGGAGACTAATGGGGGTGGCAGGCAGGTAATAATAATAATAACGCCACTTTTATATAGCGCATTTCGCAGAGAAAATCCTAAATGCACTTTACAACTACAGCAACAAACAGTAAATAAGTTATTCCAGCAATCTACAGCTGATGTGAAAAAAAAATTATTACACAAGAAAAAGTGGATTAAAGGCCTAAAATACTTATTTACATTTACTCACTTGTTTTAAAAAAATTTTTCAGCCCTTTCTTCCTGTATGTGGCTTTTAACGATCCACATCGCTGCACTGGTAGTAAGTATGGCGAGTTCTGTGAGAAGTTCGGCAATGGAAGTCCTGAGTTTGGAGTTATTGAAGACTGGAAGCCAACTTACTATTCCTTGGATGATGTATATGTACCACCATATCTTCCAGATACACCAGCAACACGGGCAGATATCTCTGCACAATACACAACACTCAGCAGATTAGATCAAGGTATATCGTACAAATATATGCTCTATGGCCATGTGTCCTCCATATGGACATGACCCATAAAGTATTCTTGTCTACATTTGTCTCTCTATGTACTCATTTCTTGTTATGTGTAGTCCCCTTAAGTACAAGTCCCCTTAAGTACAAGTCCCCTTAAGTGCATATATCCCCCACATAACTGCATGTGCATTGTGTGTCTCACAGGATGTTCTTGTCTCTCTCCATATTCATTTTATGTGCAGATGTACCTTTATGTGCATATATATGAATACTACAGACCCACCAGCTAATACACTTACCTTTGTAATTACATAAGATTTTCCTCAAGCCCATTTCTATTCTGTACAGTGTCACTGAATAAAATGAGCTGCAAATCAGTTGGTCTTGTTAGTAAGACATTTCATCCTGGAATATAGTACACAGTGTTGAAAGTTATTCTATGCCACTTGCACACACACACACACCCACGTATTACTGCATACATGAATTTTGCAATGACTTAATTTTGAATAATTGTAATTTATCATAATCTTAATATTCTGCAAATTTTAATGATTATCATGATTTTTAAAATTTTATTACAACTTTTTAGGAAAAACAATAATCTATATATAAATCTGTTTTTGGCTGTTTCAAATTTTAAATAATTGTAAATATGATATATTGCATTTTTTTGCCCAGTGTTTTTCTTGTAAATTGAATTTTTATTTCATGTGAATATTTTTAACTGTTGTATTTTCAAATTGATTTTTGTTGTTTTTTGTAGCGGGCCCCTTTAAGTCACCATTGTTGTTAGGGCCACCCTCGTTAGGTTGAATAAAAAAATTTAAAAACTATTGAAATGGATTGAGCCGTAATTTAGTGGTTAAAATTCTCATCTTTCAATAGTAGAGTAGGTTCGAATCTTGTAAATCACATGTATTTTTCTCTTGACAAAAAAACTACTTTACTCCCATAGGCTTTAGTCTTCAAATTGGTTCCTAATAGTTGTTTGTCTGTTTCATTAAAGACAATATCTATGAAAATTTTATATTTCTCCAGGTATTGGGCTGCTTCTGAAAGAATTGGAGCTTACAGGTCACCTGAACGATACACTGGTCATATACTCAGCCGATAATGGGATTCCATTTCCAAATGCGAAGACCAACCTCTATGAACCAGGAATGGGTGAGCCTATGTTGATCTCGAGCCCCTATCACACATCACGTTGGGGAGAAGTCAGCGACTCCTTCACCAGTACCACAGATATAGTTCCAACGATCCTCAATTGGTTTGGTGTCGACTTCCCCAAGTATAAGATCTTTAGCAGGAATGTTCAACTTAGTGGGAAGTCTATGCTGCCATTGTTAAATGCAGAGCCCAAATCAGGTTGGAATTCGGTCTACTCCAGCCATGATTTACATGAAGTAACAATGTACTACCCGATGCGCGTCATCCGAAATCAGCAGTACCGTTTGATACATAACCTGAACAACGGCGCCCCCTATCCAATTGCTCTTGACATTATGGTCTCACCAACATTCAATGATACATTACATAGAACATCTGAAAACAAGACAACCAACTGGTTTAAGACGCTTCACCAGTATTATTATCGTGACGAGTGGGAGCTCTTTGATGTTAGTAAGGATCCCCTGGAAGTTAAGAACTTGGCTAAGGACGTTAATTATCAGAATATTCTTAATGAAATGAAGAAAGATCTTGCAAAATGGCAAGAAGCGACTGACGATCCGTGGAGATGCGTTCCAGGCGGAGTGCTCTATCAGGGTACTTGTCTGCCTCTATACAACAATCGAGATTAGTTGTATACAAAATTTTGCTGGGCATTATTTTATAATTGATAAAAAGACAGGGTTTAATATACAGTAGGCCTATTATTATTATATTTATTGATATAACGTCATAAAATTGAATCTGTAATGGTAGCATGGGGTGGCGCCAACGGATGGGCCAGTTGTGCCATGGCTCAGCCATCGGGGAATCATGGTAAAATCTATCAGGGAAAAAATAATTTAAATAATTTTCTAAGCTAGAAGCAGCTGGACTGAGATGCCATTTTTAGGCATCTCTTAGAAGTGACGTAAAACCTTTATGCTTTAACCTCATTTCCAACCATGGTGGAGCTGAGTTGGTTGTGACCCATCTGAAATGCTTACGCCCCCACTTAAAGCTAGATACAGATACCTATAACATGATGGAATACTTAATACTAGTACTGTATATGTTTTATAGGTACTAGGGATTAGTATAACACAGGTCTTTCATTATACTGTATTGTAGAACTATATTTTACATATTTATGATTATATTCCAAGATTATATTTTTTGTTACATATTAGTACATCATCTTTATGCTATTTTATATATTTGGTATCAGTATTGTTTAACTATGTATTTTTTTTATAGCATTAAATGCATATTCCATATGCTGTCCAAGCATTACAAATGTATGAAACAAAGTATTATTAGTTGTATGTTTCTACATTATCAGAACCAAAAATCATGCAAATTTTCTTATTGAATGAAGCACTTTAGGCTGTCAGGTCTGTGGCAGTGTGCAGAATCACACACTATTGCATCTGCCAGCATACTTGTAAGGCACTTTCTCAGAAAGAATATAAGTACTGCACTGGTTTCCATAAAATTGCTCATGCTAACGTTAATACATTTAAAGAATTGAACCACGGACAGTGGGATTGGAGGCAAGGCACAGCTCCATTAAACCGTCCACACATTGGTCACTAACTGAAAAAAGAGGCTCCTGGGCATGAGCATCGGGTCAAAATTACTCTAAACATTGTCCATTATCTGACCATATTAGGCATTGGTCATCTGTCGATGACCACAGCATTAACTGAAATGAACCTTGACACATTCCATCCACAGCATAGAATATATCTGCGTAAACCCAGTATACTAAAAAAAACACACATTTGCAATGGTGACATTCTTCCAATTGTTCAACGACTTTAATTACTTGAATTAATTTAATCTACATATTGATACAAATTATTACAATTCCATAAAATTTAAGAGGTTATTACAATATTAAAAATACTTAAATTCTTAATGAAAAATAATCTATTTGTGTAACATTTAGGCAGGAAAAAATGTGGAATATAAACCAAAAATGATATGGTCATGTTATAGATAAATCACTAAATTATATATAATTACTACAGTAGTTTCAATTTTATAGAATGAACTTTTGTACAAACAATGGTAGAAAATATAAGTTCTGTCCATGATTAAAACCTCTTGATGTCTGCCTGCCAAATGGTTCGGTAAAATTATAGAAGCATCCCATAGTAAATGCCATTATTTTAGACTTATGAATGAAGACTATTGTATCAATTATTGCTTTCCTGAATTCAGACAAAAATGACTTTGGTCCAAGCAGTGTGGACAATTTACAAACAGCACCTAATACACCTAATATTAATGTTACAGTAATGCACAGCTGGGCAAATTGTGGCTTACAGGCAACATCTTTTCTGCCTTTATGAAAGGCAAAACATAGAACACCACCTGATTTATATGCAACAGTACCATTGAAAATCAAAACAAATTTTGAGTAGAAACCTTGATAATTCATTAACAAGTAAAATTAGAACAAATGTCTTGGCAATTGCGCAAGTATATTGTCACATGGTAATTGATGAGCTGGTGATGACGACAACTAAAATATTGAGAGTTAAAAATTAATAAAATTAATTGGCAAAAAAGGCACATAATTTTGAGCACAACTTCAACCCCATAAGATCGGAAGTAATTATTAATATTTATCATTACACTGGAACGACAAAGGGTGTTATTCTATTCTACTGTTCAGTCCCGAATCCAGGAATTTTGAAAATGGAGGGGGTCTAGGGAGGGACTTTCACAGATGGAGAATGTAGAACACCTCAGGCCCAAAACCATGGTGAAAATTTATGATTATGACACCTCTAGATGGCCGGAAATGGCACTCTCAGACCTAAATTTGATTATTTCCTTTTATCTCCATCTTAAAAATAATTTTAAAAAATTTAGGGGGACCCCGGTCCAGCTCAATCTCCTTCCCTTCCTCCCCCCACCCTTTGAATTTGCCACTGCTGTTTGCATGATAAAATGTGTCTCATTTTACACCAGTTTCTAAAATGGCTGCCTGTTTCTTATGCTATAAAGCTAGTACAGATATTCATATTTATAATTAATATCATAAATATTTGCATTGAAATACGGTAATTCTGACAGACATATCTATAATTGATAGCTGGACACATATGAAAAAATATTTTCATCATAAATTATAATATTTTCCATATCTGATTTTAAAAATTACATTCTACACACTAATAACAATCACAAATTTGATGCATGTTAATATAACAATGCTGTATCAGTGATTATCGTCAATCCATTTTAACATTTAACAACATAGTTACAATCACTATGGTTACTAGGAATGTTGGTTGTCATAACAGATAGATTTAAAAATATGGTTTTCCAATAAATTATTGTCATCTCAACATTACTTAAATTTCTTGATATATTCAAGGTTTTTTCTTGAAAGATGGATAATGTTATTGGAACCTACTTTAATTATTAAAATAGTTTATAGCCTTTATATTGAGTTTAAAACCTCTGCTACTTGCTTTCTTGTGTTTTCAGGACTAGTCACTGTGTATCCAACTGTTCTAGAGTCTTCGAATATTTCATGATCATTTCCTCCCTGAAGAACAAAAGTCATCATCATTATTAATATCATCATTAAATTATTTGTTGAAACAATGTTTTTTAATTCTAAATGACCTAGAGGTTTTAATGCAAGTTCACTGCAACGTACAGCCATAATATCAACGCTGGTTCGAATGGTGCACTCGCCTATGGTTCTGGTGGTGGAACAAAGTGTTTTGGATAAGGACTATAAACTGTAGGCCCAGTGTACACAATTTGGTTCATAAGCACTTTAAAGAACCCAGTACATCTTTCAAGACGAATAGGGGGTTACCCCGGTGCTGGTCCATACAGCCCCTGTTGTGGACAGACAAGAGTAGCTGGTACCCATTTACTGGGTACCTCAGACATGAAGCGAGTTACTGTAAGTTACTGTAAAAGCTAGTCCACACATCAAGTGCTTTGAGACTTCGGTATAAAGCGCTATATAAATCTTACTACATTATTATAACAATATTTTTTACACTAAGTGTTTCATAGAATTTCCAAAAATAATTTGAGGAGTATATATAACTCACAGGCATTGTTTTATCACCAAAGAACCGAATTGTCTTGTATTCCTTTTCGATAAAGTTCAAGCAGTATGTTTTGTCCCAGCCTTTTGGAAAGACGTCCACACTAATTTGACCACCTGAAAAAAAAAAAAAAAAAAAATTAAAAATCTCACAAAAATTAAATAAAGGGAGAATTTAAAATACTACGGTCATCAGCCGATGAGACTCCATACAGAACACATGATGAGGCACGTGCAATAGATCGTTTTAAAGAGGGTTCAATGAGACTGCCACTGCCGTACAGCACCCACAAACACCGGAGATGAATTCTTCAATGGTAGTACAACGTTCACGATGTGTGTGGCTGGGCTTTATAGCCTTTAAACAGTGTTGAATAATAGCAACGTTAAAACTTCCAGGAAGTGTGACTTCTTTCAGTTTCTGAGGCGTATCCAATGCGATGCTTCAGCGTAGTGCAGCACTTCAGACCCACATTCTCAATTGTTTTACATAGAAATGTCTTCCAATATAATACTTGAACAGTATCTGAATCAAAGTACAGGTGGTAGTGCTACTCACTGTGAAGTAGGCATTTCATTTTATTATGCCGATAGATTGGTGGTAGTAGCTGAAGTGATATAGGCCCACATTTAGTATTATAAGGCAAGATTTTGTTTATTCCTTGTTTCGCGTACTTACTTTTTTAAAGATAATCGGAGGAGGGTGGAATGAAGATAAAATAAAATTTTGTTTTCTTATTTAGCGAATAGTTTTGCCAAAACCATCCATACGGAGGAGAAAATAAAAATAAAATTTTATTGGTAAATGTAAAATAGGATGGTTACATGCTTGTTACATGCTTCAAATTATATAATGAGGAAGAAATACATCTTATCTTTGGAGATTTCAAGGCAGTGGAGGGCGTAATAAAAATAAAGAAAAACTTTTTTTTTCTTAAATTTCCACTTTTTTGTAGTGGCAGGTGCACTAATTGGCCAAAAATAAAATTTTATTTTTATTCAAAATCATCAATATTTGCAGTCGGCGGGTTCGCTAAACAAGGTATAAAAAAGTCTTGCATAATGGACAATACATGTAATGTAAATTAGTGGAAAGTTAGTGAAAGATGTAATTCATTATTTGTACGATTGATTGCTTGTATATCTTAATGGCATTCTATACTATACTGTATTTTGTTTTTGTTTTTTTTTTTCGAAAGAGGTACCCACTTTTTGTTTTGGGCCTTCGGCACATGGGTTGCTTTTTGACTCTTTTTTTGTGTCAAATTTTTAACAATAAATATAAATTAAGGAGCTACTTCTTCTTAAGATTGGGCTGTTTTTAGTAGTCTAACAGTAGTAGACCAAGATACGCACAAAATAGAACATCATACTACTGTAGCTGCGGGTGAATTGTCTATGTACTGTACATCTGCTTATGAAAGCATGCCAGGTGGTGGAGCAGTAAAGCTTATGGTTTCCAATCAAGGTGGGGTTTATAGTTGGAGACTATTTACTTGGTTGCGTTCTTGGGCAAGGCACTTTATCTGCATTGCTTATCTCCACCCTTGGTACCTAGTTGATTTGCATGTCTGTGCTGAATACGGCTGCAATAGAAGAACATGTGTACCACATGCCCAAGTAATAAGATACAGTAATATGCACTTGAACCTTTATTAAATATGGAAGCTGTTTCAAAGGAACTTCATAATCAAAATGATAAAGGCAGCCAGTTGATAAAAGATCCGATTTTTAAAGTAACATATTATTATGTTGACCCTAGGAATATATAAGAAACGAAAATTGAATATAAATATTAAAATTATTATAAACAAAGAAAAGATATTAATTAATTGTAGAAGACAACACCTACCAATAGCAAAGACTAGATTGGTATCTGCAAATTCCTTTCTCATAGCAGCAACCATGTTCTCTCTTACTTTGTTTTTCTATTGGTGAATAAAACATAAATTTAAGTAAAATTAATAAATTCCATTTTTCATTTTTTCAAAATTTTATTCTTATTTAACACTGACAGTTTCCACTACATAGTTTCTACTATAAATATGTTAATAAAAACAAAATTAATAAAAACCAATTTTAAAAGTATGAATTGTTTAGCTGGGCACACACTGTGCCAATGGCTGTCGGCCAATGCAACTCCATGAATCCACGAATCCATCTCCAAAGAGACTAGAGGTGGATATGCAGTGTGTGTAAAATGGTTTTACTATCGAATAAGACTAGAAAAAAATTGGTTCAAACTTATTACCAGAAAATATCAGTCGTTTCCACAATTGGTATTTTAAAACAATATTTTTCTACTGCTTAGAAATGAAAAGAATGATTATGATTGTTAAAGAACACCGCCCTCACCTGATCGAATTCAGCGAACTGAATCCTTTCAGCTTGGCTGCAGCTTCGGCCTACAGGACACACGTTAATCATCCCAGTACGAAATTCAATGAACGTCCCCCTGATCAGTAGAAAAACGAGCAAAATTTATTGATAAAACATAATTTATTTGAAAAACATCCCTCCACAGTAAAAGTGATGGTCTAAGGGACATGCTGACAATTATCATCCTGTCAGACAGGCCTTGCTTTCCCCATTAACAATGACTTGTCAAACTGAAAAAGCAGATTTAAAAAAAGAAACCGTACATATGTGCCTAAATCTTCCAGATCACCTCCGGAGTGATCTAGAAAGATACAAAAATGGTGTTTGAGAAAAACGATTTATGACGAGATACAGATTTTTTAATATTTAAAGGTGGAAAAAAGATGGTTACGCCCATTTTTTTTTTCCCTAGTTTTTTAAATATTCAACAATCTGTATCTCATTCACTATTCCCAAATTTTTGTGTCTTAGAAAAATGAGTTGCACAATGTATCAAAGACATTTTTCCTCCAGACCCTGACTTTAAAATGGCCCAAAATTGTGCCATGTTATTTTAAAAATCAGTTGGAGTTTGTCTCATGTAGATTCCACTGTGTATTATAACTGTCTAAAACAAAAGTAATTGCAAAGAATTCAGATATAGTAAATGTGGACGAAAAGCTCTCATTGTGTATAATTACAATGAAAAGATAAAACTAGTTCGTCAAAAAAAAAAACAAAAAAAACCAAAAAAAAAACCAATAGGCCTACATTACCTTTTTACTGGAAGTTCTAGCTTTGCTAAATACCCAAGGGCATAGTTAATGAACCGTTGTAGAAGTTCTTCACCGAGAAACTTTTGTATACTCTGCAAAAAATATATAATTTTTTATCTTAAAAACCTGTAATTTTAGAGCATTCTGATACACTATTTTGAAGCAAATTCAACTTATATTTTGAATGTATTCAATCTCTTCCTTCATGATGATTGATTGACTGATTGATTGACTAAATATAACACTTACATAACAAACAAAAGACAGAAACTGAAGGTTCATAATCTAGTTTTTGTGTCTATTGCCCATTCGGGGGCACAGACACTACTGTATGTTACTGTCTGGCAGTTAATCCTGCAAGAGCGAGTAAATCCGGTGGAGATGCATGATGGGTACTACTACCATGAGGTCGGGGGCGTCTTATTAGAAATCGAATTGTGTTTGAAACTTGAACATGAATCACAGAGATAGGACTGCGTTTCAACGACAACCCCAAGACCGAGAGTTCAACTCTTTGGTTTTTACTTAAACATCTGAAACCAAAACATCATGTGCAGAAGTAAACGATTACGAACTTCTCAAACCGAATCCCAATGCGATAATTTAGTAAACACAGGCAATAGACACACACTCATGCAGGGAGCCTATTTTTATACTTATGATTATGATTACACACTGTAACAATCAAATAAACCTAATTCAGAAGATGATAAGATTGTAAACTGTTCTTACTGTCTTTGCCAGAAGCTCTCCATTTTTGTAGGCTACAAGACCGTTTTCTGAAAAGAAGTAATCAAAATGGGTGAGGGCTTCTTCACCGCCCAATTGTTCTAGAATCTTGGCTTGGTCTGACCCACCCACCAGGCATACTGGCACCTTCTTTCTTAGATCACTCATGAAGTCTTCCATTTCCTTTGTAATTCTCTGTAAAGATAAAACAGAAACATAATCAAATTAAATTTTTGTTTTATAAATGTTACCTCCCGATATAAACAATTCCCTATAAACAATACTGTGGCATTTTTCAGTGTTACTGTATTTGTGGACCATCCATAAATTTCATTATTTTCAAAAGGGTGGGGGAAGGGAGATTGAAAGTGTAGGTCTACTCTTTTATATAAAAAAGATATCTTAAATTACACAAAGTAACATTCCATTGTGTACTAATGTGGTTAATGGTTTTAAATTTATATAGCACAAAATACAAAAAGTCTCTATGTGCTGTAAACACAAGTGCATAGATGTTTGGAAATGTGATAGAATAAAAAGGTGAAAGTGCCAAGCCAGCACCCAAACCACAAATTAAACCCAGATGTACAATCTTAAAATAATTTTTGGGAGCCATATTCTTAATTATTACCAGAGGAAATACAGCCAAAGGAAAATATCATACACCCAAAAACAGAAGTATTACACTGATTGTTTTATAAATCAGGTATTTTCATGCAGATCTAAATGACAATTATCCATAGAAAAATGTCTTGGATTACCATAACAATGATAGAAATTTCGTAATCTGACTTTTCAAAACTCTGCGGTGAACATTTCGCAACCTAAAACATTTTGCAACCCGGACATTTTAGGTTTGCAAAATTGTCTGTGCACTTACTGTACAAGTCCAATTACAAAATGTCAACACGTCATAAAGCAGTTAGTATAAACTAACACCTAAAATTGCTATGACAAACAAAAGATGAAACATTAGTATCAAAATTACCAACTCTCTGGTCTTTGTGTTGCTATTATTTTGAAAAACTTATTGTAGTAGTACTATAAAATTATTTTTTTTAAAAAAAGCTGATTAGAGTGATGTTTAAGGTTTATTTATATTCAATAATACCTGTAATAATAACATCAACAGCAGCAGCAGTGACAACAATTTTTATCTATTTGTTTGTTTATTCGGCATCACCAATACATCAGTAAAATATTTAAAATTATAACAACAGGCCCATATGAATACATGCATTTTTTTTCCTATGAATTAAAATCAAATTATAACAACTTAAAAATATTACAATAAAAAAGATATATGGAGTAAAATTGATATAAAAAAGTTTTTAGAAATCAATTTCAGAAGTGACAAACGATATAGCCAAATAATAACAATAACAATAATAATAATAATAATAATAATAATAATAATAATAATAATAATAATAAAAAATATACTTTTTCCCCAAAGGAAGGAAAATTATTTTAATGTTGGCATATTATCAACTGTAATTGTTCCCTTTAGCTACTGTTTGTTTTATCATTAATCATGGGTCAAAGGTTGCTGAACAATGAGCGCTAACCTTGTTCATCAAGGTTAAGTTATGGTTAAATCATGGTTAAATCAAGTCAGGTAATCCATAGTTCAATCACCTCCATGGTTTACTGTAGTGTAAGGTGTCAGTATTGTCAGTAATCTCAGGTCAGTGGTCTCATTGTTGCATCAGCTGAATAGACACACCCCCAAATAAGGACGTCTGATTGGCTGTGCTCACCAAGGCCATAAAAACCATTACAACAGCCTGTATTGGACGTATTTACTACTGTAATGGTGATTTGGCAATTTATTTTATTATTCAGTGACTTGGCATTAAAATTGCACCAATTTGTGCCCAATGTTTCCTTAAGTAAAACAATTTTTCAATTAATAACATTTAATTCTAAAGTAAGCAAAATTAATAGGAAACAAAACAGAGGGTTGAATGTATTTAATTAAAATCATTATGAACATTACTTTTAATTATTATTCATTTTAACAATATGGTATGGGTGCACACATGGAGTGCACAAAACAAAACACTCTATGCTGGTCTTTTAACAAGGATTGATTGTGAAAAGAAACATCTTTTTATAATATCATTAACATAACATATTTCAAATATCAATCTGAATGCATATGTTCACTCAATACATTTGAAATTTTGCTAAGATTAAAGCGTATGAGTTTGGTCTGCATTTTAAATGGATTTGGTTCAAGTTTTGTGAACAAAAGTTTGTTTAAGAAGAGTTGATTTTCATGAAATGACAGCAGTGAAATGGAAGAAAACAAACAAAAAAAACTCTTAAAATAAAAACAATTTCTACATTCTTGTACTTATTTATAGAAATAAACCAAACATGAAATACTATTGATTGGCTAAAAAGCATAGCAATTAATTTATACAATAATTAATATGTCTTGACGAAGAATGCTTGGACACATTTCAAATACTCTAGTAACTTATGGTTTATGGTTTTATATTTATATAGCGCCTTCCACGATCGAAACCGTCTCAAGGCGCTTGAAAAATATATGTGAATAATGTATGGAAATAAATTTGACCGGAAATAACCTAAACTAACCAAACAGAATAACCGACAAAACAGATAAAAAATAGAATCACACATCATCACACTGTTTCACTGACCGACCAAGGCCGGTCAGCTATTGATTTCACAGGTGTCATAATGATGTGTGTTAACCAAATATTGGCCTACCTACCTACATTAGGTCTACCTAGGCCTAGACCCATTAGTACTCGTTTCACTTTTAACTCTCTCTATAATAACATGAGCTTCATTAATAATAATTAAGTAGGCCAGCCAGGCTATGCTGTTGTAACATTAATTAATCAAATCATGATCAGAAATAAAGAGGTCTGACTGGACTTCCAAATTACTGTCAATATTGCATTACTAATGTAGGCCTAGGCCCAATACTAATACTAATAGCCCTAAATCTAGGCCCCATACCCTACACTCACTGACACTGTGTAGTAGCATTACAGCAGTACTCTCTCCTGGGACCTGGTTCAGCCTAGTTGGCCTAGGCCCTAGGCTAGGGCCTAAAAAAGTCCTACTTAATTATGCCGTGAATAAATTAGAATTATTGCATTGATTCTTCTTCATAACTTACCTGCCTTGGTGCTGTTAACGTTCCATCGACATCAAACAAAAAACATACGGAATTGTCTCTTTCAGCCATGGTAGAAACTAGTTTTAATAGTAAATTCACACTGAACCAAACACTCAACTCAAACTTTAGCTCACACTCTACTACCGCCGCTCTCAGCTTCGTCAACAAAGTACACACTACTCGAGCCGATGCGATGTTGACACATTGCACATTGCTCATTGCCGGTAGTTAGTGTACTGAAAATTTTAAACCAATGCGGCTCAACACGGTTAGCATTGTCGATCTATTATGTGTAGTTTCATATTTTGTGCAAATCTCAAGTCTGATTTGATATCCATCCGTTAGAAAGAATCTTCTTACTACACCTAAGTTCTGTTTATCGTTTATCGTTTCGGTATAACAACGCAGAGACTATTTTAAGGCTAATCACATAAACAATAAACACGCCCTCATAATTTCATTCTGTAAAAAAGTGCGACGGAAAAAATGAATCCGAATGCTCGTTTTATACTTGAATTATCTAAACAACATTCGTCGTTCACGGCTGCATCTGTTTCTCTTTTAGTTCTTAGTATAATTCTTTATAGGTTAGTACATTTTGATTATCATATTATGATAGAGATGCCTTGTTCGCTGCTACTATACTATAGGAAATGTAGGCCCCACTCTCTTGTGGTAGAACTGTATCTTCTGGTGCCCATTTGTTGCTGGCACTCGGTGTGCCATGGAATGATTAATTTACAGGAAGTGATCACATGATACTTTTGGGAATTTTGACAGTTTGAAAGGTTGTGTACAGAGTAGCTATTGCATCTATTTAGTAGTAAGTAGTACATAGTACCTCGGCTGAACTTGAAAACAATAATTACATGAAATTCGATCCAACTCGGCCACAACACAAGCCAAATCGACCACGATAAACTTTGTCGCTGTCAAGTTTGCCACAAGCCAACTCATCCATAAGCCAACTCAACCACAAGTCCACTCAGCCACACATTATATGATATATAAATGAATACAGTACAGTAGTATGGATTACTTAATTCTTGTTTTAAGTAGTGCATTATTTGCTTATAACAGTTTTTATTTTACTTTGCTTAAAAATAAATTTTTAATTTATAATATTTTAAAAATATAATAATCTAAATGTAATCAGTTTTTTTTTTTAAGAAACCTGAACTTGGATTTGTGGTTTTTAAAAATGTTATTGTTTTACGAGGGAACCAGTCAACTCACAACCTAGCAAACTTGCTAAAGACCATGGAAACATCAATCCCAAAAGTGGTCTTTAATCGGAGGGAGACCTTGTACAGTATGACATTCTGTGTGATTTAACTAATGTGTTTGTTTTTTCTCTTAGTTACCTACACATTTTGCTTGTAGCTTGGGCATTCTTAGCTGGAGTTGGCTCTTTTTATATCATCTTCAACTATGTCTCTGTCGTGCCAAACATCATAGTTGCATTTGAGAGAAAGAAGAAGGTTCCCAGAGGTAATCAGTCCAAGAAAACTCCAAGACATGTCTGTACTGTTTGCTCAGACAACGAGTGTTGCAGACACAGGTATGGAATATTTAGTCAATATACGGAAGTTGGTATTAGTTAAGGCAAGACTTTATAATACCTTGTTTAGTGCACCCTCTGACAGCCAAAAATGGTAATTTCGAATGAAAATGAAATTTTATTTTTGGCCAGTTTTAACGCACCATCCATCACAAAAACATAGAAATTTCATAAACAATATAATTTTTAATTTATTTTTATTAGGCCCTCCTCTCCCCTGAATTCTCCAAAAACAAGATATACTGTATATATTTCTTCATTAATTATATAAATTTTAAAGCATATATCTATCTCATTACTACACTGTTGAATTCATTAATGAAATTAAATTTTTATTTTCTTCTCTTCATAGATGTTTTTGGCAAAATTATTTTGCCAATTGAGAAAACTATTTTTTTTCCTACCCTCCTATGAAGATCTTTAAAAAAATGAGTTTGCGAAACAAGGCTTAAAAAAAGCCTTGCCAAAATAGATAAATGCTTTCTCACAACTTAATATATTAATGTTATTAAATAGATGTGAATATGTATGCATGGATTGCTTATTTTGTTTCTTTCATTTATTTCTCAACATACTGTACATAAAAACTGCACAATAGTAAAAAGAACTAACTAAGAATAATAACAGTGTTCTCCAAATTGAAAAAGTTTTACTGGTAAATTTGTCCATATAGAGCCAGCTAAGCCCGCACAACGTGAGTTATTGCCACTTTAAATGAAGTACAATGGCTTTAAAAAACAATAATACATAATCATAGCCTAGGCCTGGACTGGAATCATGTTTGTTTATGGAAAGAAGACCAGCCTCTAGGCTACCTGGGCCTAATAAGTGCTTTTTTTATTTTACCAACACACAGTTTTAATTGGTTGGGCAGTTATTATTACTGGTAAAATTGACGGCTAATAGTTATTGTATAAGTATGTGAAAGGAGGCCAGAATAAGTTACTATGGTCACCAATTAAAATTGCAATTTTGTTTTCTTTAATATAAGGTATTTTGTTGATATATCATCAACACAACCATGGACTGATGTATATATACCAGAAAGAGTTGATAAAGCATTATCAGAGGTACTGTAAAAAAAATTAATTGAAATAAATATTTTAGTTAATAATTTTTAATTGAAATAAAATATTTTGCTTTTTTGAAAAAATGTTTTTATTTTTGTATTTTATTTTATTTTTTTCATTTTCGTAAAAAATACAATACAACACATTATAAAGATGACATCTGAAACATAGTTGTTTGTGTTACTAAAGTGGCCCACCCACCAATGGGCTCTACACCTTACCATTTAACATGAAAAATATAACTGATTCAAATCTGTAGCTACCAGTCAGTATTTGTATAATGAATAAATAAAAACTAACTTGTATGCAGACGATTTAAGTCCTCAACAAATATATATTGTATAATTATTTTTGTTTATAAATCATTGTTGTTAGTGACTTTGAAAAATGTTTTATTTCACAGCTATTTGAATTAATCCTGAAAGACTTCGTCTATTCATGGTACAAGTAAGTGTCGCTATTATATAATAATATGTAATATTTAAATTAAACAAAGTATACTATACAATACAATGTTACACATAATGTAAAAGCATTTATGAGGCTTTGGAAATTGAGTTATTTTTGGTTGTAAGATAAATCAAAGATGATGGAAATAAAGAGGCAAAAATCTTAACTGCCAAGCTACATCTTTGCTGCTAAACAATATTTCATATTACTAATCTTTGATGAGCATTTTCTTTCAATTTTTTAGGGATGTAAGTCAAGATGAGGAGTTTGTGAATGAGCTGCGGTCTGGTATTAGGTTCATGGCAGCCGTCCTGCTGAAGCGTATTCAAGAGGTATGGCCAGTCAATAATAATTATAATAATGTATACATTTACACTTGATTTAATTTCCTTGAAATTTACCCTTTGATCAAATGGAATCTTACCCATAAAGAGTGTTTTATTCAGCACATACAGTAGGGCGGGGATGTGCACTTTATGGAGTGACCTCCCTAGTTAATTTATGATATTTGCTTTTTTATGTTAGAAACATACATCCATTTACATCCAGTCATTTCCAATACCTATTTTTATTTTATATATCGAGTACTTTATTAACTTTAATTAACTAAACAAATCTTATATTTACAGGTTGATTTGCCCACACTTATTCTTGACAAACTAGTGAAAAATGGATTATCCCATCTTGATTTGGTTTTAAGAACAAAACGTAAACGTGAGTACTAGAAAATTCTTATAACAAAAACTGTATTTAAATTATAATAATAATGAAATGTGTTTGATTGTCCTTTTATATGATTGTCTTTTTTTGTAATTATGCAATATGTAAATCCTGAGCAATTCAGTTTTTATTGTGATTTGTGGATATTTTGAAAAAAAGAAAATAATAATAATTGTAATACTATTGATAATAATTGTAGCATGTGGTATACTGCACCATTCACCTATAATTAGTAAATCTTAAAAGGGTCCCCGACAAGAGCAAAGTGGGCATGGTCGGTGTCAATTAAAATATTTTGAAAGTGGTCCAGGGGGCGGAGGAAAAATATGGCAATTTAGTGGTTTCAGAGGCTTATTCAATTGATTTTATATAGATAGTCTACTAATATGTAGAAAATACATATAAATGTTTTTTCCCCACCACTCTTAATATGATACTGTAATTTAAATTTTATGTTCTTTTATTCTGTAGTTAAACCAACTGATGAGTTCGATGTGGAGATTCTGAAGGCGTATGGACCTCATCTTCACTGTGCAGCCAGAAGTCGGGATTATGAACTGCGATATGTCCGTCATTTACTCGATGCGATATTCCCTATGCTTATTCCTAAGCATGCTAATAACTGCCAGTAGGTGTTCTGAAACCTAATCGTTTATATTTTTGTATTCCACAACTAAAAGCAAGTAAATTCAGTAATACAGAATGTAACTACGCAATGCTACATATTTTGAGAATTTTTTTAAAAATTAATTTGTTTAAGGAAGGATTGCCAATAGTGAATGTATCACATAATATAAACGTACACATATTAATAAGATCATAATGAGGCTTATGTAGTTGCATTCTTTGTGTTGGACAGGATTTGAACTTTGAACCCTTCGATTGGAAGGCAAGCATCTTCAACCACCACTACAGCTTAGGGAGAAATTGATTTTAGTTTTGTGAAAATGTATTTCTGGCGCTTTACAGAATTTAATCCAGGACCGTAGGATTGAAAGGCCAAAATGTTAATGTACAAATTAATTTTTTATTTTAATCTAACTAACTTAATAAATGCTGCTCTTCTTCATTTTTTAGGGGGACAAAGAATTTCTTCAGAGAACTTTTAGCCGGTTCCGTTGTTATGCCAGCAATGGATGTACTTGCTAACCCAGTGAGTTGTGTTTAATTTTTCTGTTAGGACCTGTCCAGACTATCAAATTTTATTTGACAAAGACCTTTGACATGCCTAAATATGGTCATGACGACATCACATCATAACCATATATAGGAACATCATGACCATATATAGGCACATCATGACCATATATAGGCACATCATGACTATATATGGGCATACAACAGTTTTTTGTTGAACAATATTTGAGAATCTAGACAGAGCTTTATTCTTTGTAGCATCTTCTTTAATGATATAGGTGGTTAATATAAACTTGGTCTTAGTTTACAAATTATATTGAACATTTTCACAAAGTACCTGTAACACCAAGCTGTTTTAGACTACTAGTATAAACGGTTGTCTGTTAAGAATAGCAAAGTCGTTCCAGACAGTATTTGGCTATTTACTATGTGATGAAAACATGGCAGCTTGCTGTTGGCATTTTTCACAATCTTATAAATGTTGAGCTGGTAGACCACAAAGCAATGTGTTAATTCAGATGTGCAAGTTGGATTTTAAATATAGATTGCTCTTTCTAAATGTTCTTATTTACATTTTATCACAAGTTTTAACATCATTCTTTTTTTTTTTCTAATAGGATGTTGTGAATTTGTTACTGCAACTTTTGTTTGATGAAGAGCCAGTGAGTTATATTCTTGCTTGAATTATGGATTTTGCATTATAAATAATAATTTTTAATTTAAATTATTAGGAGTAGACACTAGTGGAACACACATTCAGCTTCCTGTTAAAGTAACCCATAGTTTTATTTTCTATATTGCTGTATTTTTTAGAGCCCTCTAATTCCTAGACCCCTCCAAAATAAGACCACTTTTTCAAAGTTACAAATAACAATAGACCATTCTGCTAAGCCCCGCCCCTTGGAGATTGTTGCTAAGGAAGGTCCCACAAAACAAATGTGGAAAAACATACGCAAACATGTGTGTTTGTAAGACATGTGCATGTTTCTGGCGCTGTCCTGCTTGTTCAGTTGCTAGGTTCGATTGCCCCCTCTGAAAGGTCCAATTTGAGAACGAACCCTGAGACCAACTTACCTCAAATTTTCAGATCCCAAATGTGGTTTCAAATTGTGAGGTCAAAGTGTATTTCTCTTCTTTTGAAATAAGGAAGTATGATGCATTAATGTATATTGCAATGTAGGGTAGAGCAAACATCACTCTTATGGTATTTTGCTGACAGAAACGTACACATCCAAATAATTAATTTATAGTATTAATATTATTATTCACATTCAACATTGTCTGTAACCTCTAGATGGCAGTCTCTACTGATCCACCGACTGAACCTGTTTTGATTTTGCAAACATTTTGCACAGCCACCAGCAAGTCTGTCCAATCAGTAAGTAGATGCTTACTACTTTATTCTGCATAATAAATCAGTATATTTTATTGGTAGTATTTAAATATTAGTTCTCTATTTAACTCTGTACAACTGCTCACTAGAAAGTGCATGACAAATAAAATTATCAGCTAAAGGGATAACTGGAGAACAAAATGCTTAATTCTCCTTAATATTGTTACACGTCTTAGCCTTGTCAATGAATTCTGCAAAAATCAGCAGTAGTGAATATTACTGGCATTCTCAAGGCTACATACCATCCTCACTTGCTGTAGTCAAGCAACATTTGACAAAAATTATAGGTCAATACTTTTATATATTATAAAAGTATAAAGTTTTATTATATTTTATTATTGTACATTACTGTTAAAACTGTATTTATTCATTTTTCAGCCTTTGAGGACTGGTTTGTCTGAGCTTCTCTCCAATAAGGACAATACGCTGTATGAATTTGTAAAATTCATGAAAACGGAGGGAGCGCTACACATTCTGAACTTTTGCCTCGGCATTGGTGAGTGAACACCAACTACCATCAACATAATTATAATTACTAAGGCCTGACCAGACTATCAAATTTTATTTGACAAAAACCTGTGACATGCCTTAATATGGTCATGATGACATCACATCATGACCATATATAGGCACATCATGACTATATATGGGCATACTAGTCAAAGAAAATTTGATAGTGTGGACAGACCTTAACTCTATAATCACATTATCATTATCATCATCATCATAATCAAGTTGTGTGGCCAGATGGTATCAGGTAGGTGCCCCATACCTACAGCCTTAACATCAGAGCTGGTTTGAGACCCTTCTCGACCAGGGTTCAGCAGTTCAGCATAATGACTTTGGAAGTTATGGGTTATCCTCCTACATTTCCATAACATCATTCTTTTCACCAAAAATTCATAAATTAAGATCACCATTATCTTCATTATTGTCATCATCAACATTATCATCATCATCATCATCATCATCATCATCTTCATTATCTTCATTATCATCATCATCACTATCACCATAGTGTATCAATGATCATCAGTACTACTCTCCATCCCCCTCACCTCCACACACACAATGTTCTGCATTTGTTTACTCTTTTTTCTCAGAGGAATTTAACCGACGTATCATGAACCTTGACCTAACCAAGCAGCAGATTGAAGTTCTCCACAAAGAGGCTAAAGACACTTACCACATGTTTATTGCCCCTGATGCCAGTGATAGGATCTCTTTTGGTGAAGACATTGAGCAGGAACTTAAAAAAAGTAAGACACAGTTGCACATGAAATGTGATATGGACGGGGTTATGATAATGGTGATGATAATCATTATAATAGTTTCTAATGGCCAGCAGCTCCTATACATTCTACGCAGGCTAAAATCATTATGTACCAGTTCTATAACTAAGTCATAGAAAATGTCCTGACACTTTCTTTCCTAGTCTGGTATGAGAGCGCAAATTAGGAAGATCCCAAGCTTCTGAATAGAGTTGTTAAGCATGCATCTCGTACTATTGGCATAGAACAATCATCACTAGAATAGCTCTGTACAATGAACGCATCATAACTAAGGCAAAATTCATCATAAGTGATCCTTCCCATCCTGGTAACCATCTTTTCTGTTTAATGGTGGTTTTTTGTGATGGTTATGGTTGTGGTACTAATGGCAGTGGTAATAATGATGGTGACGATGTTTCTATTACTGATTGTGGTGGTAATAATGGTGTTGGTGATGATGGTGCTGTTACAGATGGTGGTGGTACTGATTGTGGTGGTAATAACGGTGTGATGACAGTGTGGTGATTGTAAAAATGGCTGTGATGTGTTAGTGATGAAATGACAGCAATTTGGTTAATTACCATAATGGTGACTACAAAAACCAGAGATAATTATAATATCAATATTTAATATCTATTATCGCCAATAGTGGCTTTAAATTGGTTATCACAGTGGTTGTGATTATTAATATTATCTCCTCAATAGTATCTTCATTGTATGTCAATTAATCACTTATGACAATGAACAGACATTGATGTTTAATTATGTAACAACAATCTTATTTTTCTAGTTGTTGAGGGACCAAGTGACTATGTGAAGAAGCTTAGACCTGCAAACACTGCCCTCTTTAGGTAAGAACAATCAGAGAAACCATTGTAGTGTAAGAAGGAAGAAGAAACAGTAACTTATACTCAGCGGTATAAAAATGTTAATTTAATCTTTTTCGGTAGAGCTTATGGCCAAGCTTATGTTGTTTTGGAAAGCGTCTTCCTGCCGTTGTTCTATCAAAGTGATGCAGTGAGTCCTCTTAATTATATTTTGGTTGTTTTTTTTTGTGTTATCTATGATTAAGTGTATATAGAAAATATTTACAAAGCAAAAATTGGTTGACAGAAGTTTTCTGACAGAGGTACAAATTCACCTCAGGCCCACCGTGTTTGGAGAGAATTTAAAGAATAGAAAATTCTTTTCTGTGAAAATGCTTTTTTAAAGCAGTGTTCCCCTTAATATCATTGGCCTCTTTCCTGATGGGCGGTCCATAGTTCCCCGAGGGAAAGTCCTGGCACCACCAATGCCTTTAAAGATTGTCTTGAAGGTGTGAACATTAATGTTGGTTTTCTTGCAGCATTATACCAGAATATGTGGTGAACGGCTGCAGAAATCACTCCAACGGTCATCATCAAAGTGAGTTAATTGTGTCAATGCTCTCTTTTTCAATCCTACTAGCACAGCATTTATATTTTAATATTTGACTTTTGCACTGACAACTTCAAAGTGTCTATTGGACCTTTCTGGACTGTCAATCAAACTGATAGAACAAAACAGGGCCAAGAATCTCACAAACACACATGTTGTCCCACAAACACACATGTTCCTCAAACACACATGAAATCTCATAAACACACATGAAATCTCACAAACACACATGAAATCTCACAAACACACATGAAATCTCACAAACAGACATGAAATCTCACAAACACACACGAAATCTCATTAACACACATGAAATCTCACAAACACACATGAAAACTCACAAACACACATGAAATCTCACAAACACATGAATTCTCACAAACACACAAGAAATCTCACAAACACACATGAAACCTCACAAACACACATTAAATCTCACAAACACACATGAAATCTCACAAACACACATGAAATCTCACAAACACACATGAAATCTCACAAACACACATGAAATCTCACAAACACACATGCTTTTTTTTTTTACACCTTAGTAACAATATCCAAGGGCTCAGCTCACCGGAATGGTTCATTAGTGAATCCTCTTTATGTAAGGGATTATCTATTTTAAAAAATCATTTTAAGGGTACAAAACCTCCCACCCTCCCTCAAAAATTGAGTACATATGATGATAATTATCATTTTGAAATCATTTTTTCATTTCCATATAAGTTTACATGTTACCTTCTTCTCCTAGCATATTATCTTTTTGCACTTTCACAAAAAGATTTTAAAAATTGATAATTCCTAATCTTTATTATTACTAATCTTCATTTTACAGTACCTAACAACATTTTCTTAATCAAAGCTTATTTATGTACTCTTCTTTACTAAGCTAATGTGTTGTTATATTTTAATTAAGGTCATAGTTCTAATGCTATTTGCTGCTAATTTTATAACAAACTAACAAAATATTTTGATATGCTTTTTAATGATGAATGCCTACGCTAGTCTTATACCAGAGGAAATACTCCCCACTCCTGTGCCAGTGGCACCACCCAGGTAATTATAACTGTCTACCCCTCCTGGTATTGTGGATATAACCACCCCCACCTTCTCCCTGGTATCAAGAATATGAAGATGTCTATAGATTTCAGATCAAAATGTGACCCATTAAATATATATGTACAGTACAGTGTGTTGTGTATTAATTTCTGTGTGAATAATTTGTTAAGGTTTGTTGTTTTACTGTACATTCCTGTTATTTTTTTTTTGTTTTGTACATTAATTAGTTAAGCCTAGTTTTCTTAAAATCGCTACAGTGTTTTCAGTGCAATCGTACTGCCTAGCAATGCCTGGCAATGGAAGGCATCACCTGGCAATGGAAGGCATCACCGAAAGTTCTCGGCGAAAGCTGTAGCGATTTTATGGAAGCAAGCTTTAGTAGTAAAGCTGATGTTAGCATCATTGATAATGAAAACCTGCCACAATATATGGGGCATGCAATGCCAAAACAAACATCAGGAAACCAAACAAGAAAAAATTGACTTTTTAATACATTCATATTCTTCACATTATAAGCTTTAAAATAATAGGTAATTTAATGGAATCAACTTATTATTCATAAAGTTGTGAGTAAACGTATTATGGCTTCTGTACTATTAAAAGTACTATATACAATACTGACATATTCTTACGCTACTTTATACTAAATACTTAGTTTAAAATTTAGTGACAGATGTTTGTTTTGGAATAGCAAGCCTCATATACATATTATTATTTACAGTGTGTGTGTATTCATTTATTTATTTATCCAGGATGATGCAATGTATTCTAAAAGTTCTCATTAAATATTTCTCTATTACATTTCTTTTTGTTTTCATGGGTTATGGTTGTATTTCATCATCAATCTTTTAATTACTGTAATTGTTTTTACACCTATTTTTTTTCCAAATGTGTTTCCATCTGTAGCTTTTTTTTTGCATCTGTAGGACATGTTTTCCTTCCTTTTATTTTTAATTCAACCAAACATTTTTTCTGAAATCTTTTATATTTTCAACTGCTTGTGTGTAAATATAATGCCCTATCAGTTGCGCAGGGAGGGACTTTTACATTTGGAAGGTGTAGACCACCTCAGCCCTACAATGGTTGGGGTTGTGGTAAGAACATTTATGAATGTGGCACCTCTAGATGGCCGGAAATGGCACTTTCAGACTAAAATTTGAAGTATTATTTTTTTTTTTTCTTCATTTAAAAAAAATAATTTTGAAACATTTAGGTGGGAGGGGCTGCCCCGCTTGAATCTGCGTGTAACATGTGTAGAAAAGTATTCCCTTTTTTCCCCTATAGTTCCGTATTATAATTAAATATGCTTCCATGAATATTATGTGTTTACCCTGTGTTGAAAAATGTTTCTGTTAAATGTTTCTTCTTATGTAGGAGGAATATCCATAGACTCTTTTTTCCTCTTTATTATATTTGGTGATGAAGTTTTAGTTGATTCTAATTATAAGGTATCTATCAACATCATCTTCTAGTAATGCATTTCACAAAATAATATTTGTTTGATTGATTGATTGATAGATTGATTGATTGATTGGTTAATTGATTTATTGATACAATGATTCTGGTTTCTGACTATTGATCAAAATGGTATCTGTCAACATCATCTTCTAACAATACTTTTTGTAAACTAATATTTAGATTGATTGGATAGATTTATTGATTCTTTAATTGATTGATTGATTTATTTGTATAAGACTCTTTTGCATTGCTTTTTCTCTTCTGCTGTATAGAGCCAACATTAGGAGGTCTAACGAACCACTGATCAACAAGATAGGGAGTAAAATAAAGGGAGTTTTCCGCAGTAATAATTCAGACAGTAACCAAGAAATGCTCATGGAACCTGAAGGAAGTCAACTTAGTGTGAGTGAATAAAAAAAAAATTATGTTTAAGTAGTTAAAAATCACCGCATATTACATTATTTTGCCAGTTAACATTCCTTTTTACTTAATCATTAAGCCTCCCCATTAGAAGTCATGCCCCTACTCTCTCATCAGTCCTCCCACGTCAATACGCTGAGACACACACTGTACAACATGGATAACCGTGTTCCCACCAAAGGAATCCAAATCCAAACCCAATGTTATCTTTTCCTCATTCTCTTTCTTTCAGTTAAATCATGGCATGGAACCCGTTGATATGCCGTCTGACGACGATGAGCTGTGTGTACCAGAAAATGTTGCATCACCCAATCGGGACCTAACTGCATGGCGTATTGAGATACCGGGACTGGTGATACGCCCCGATGGGAACAAGGATGTGTTCATGTATATCATTAAGGTTCAGAGAATCGACATACAGGCTGAACAAGGAGCAGAAACAGCATGGGAAGTAGAGAGGTAAGCCAACTTTAATAGTTTTACTATTTAACTGTTTTATAGTGTTTTTAAGATATTGAAGTTTTATATCATATCTATATGTATTTTACATTTAATCTATTTATATTAGGCTCTGTCCAATATTATACAAGTAATGAATGTTTATTCACGCAATGGGAAGAATATTTTCATGAGTTAAAAGATTGACTGTTCCATTCAACGAGGCAGAGCCAAGTTGAATGGAACAGTCAATCTTTCAACTCATAAAAATATTCTTTCCATTGTACAAATAAAAAACATTCATCATTTGTTTTATAAACACCTAAAATTGATTCTTGTCATTTGATATTTTATTCAAATAAATCTACTTTTTTTTCTGAATGGAGATTCTTGTCAATTTTAATACTTTATGAAAAAAATCTACCTTTCTCTAAATAGAATAGTCCAGCATCTCTTTAACCAATCAAAAGATTGTATTAGGTTAATTGCCATATTATATCCTAGGCTGTGTGCAATAGGAAAATATGTGTGGAAAGAAAACGCACTTTGGAACTAAATTTCCATGATGAGTGACGAAATACGATAAATAACCATTTCTTGTGATACGAAATCGACCAATCAAATGACAGGTATCTATTTAGGTGTGTTATAATACTTCCTGTTGCCCGCTTATTAACCAATCAGATGCCTAGAATCTGTGCGGTATATAATTGAACGTATTTAATATCTTTCTTGCAGACGTTATCAAGAATTTTATGTCCTTGACAGTAAGCTGAAGGAATTTCATGGTAAATTTCATTTTCTAGATCTGTATATAAACATGAGTGGTGTTGAATAGCTTGGTGGTTAAGATGCTTTCCTTCGAATCCTAGGGTTCTGGGTTCAATTCATGTCAGTGTTGCAGGAATTTCTCTCTACCAAAACAACTCCACTCCCTAAACATCATGATGAGATTTAGTTTGTGTAAAACATAAAAGTTCGATATCGTTCAACTCTGGTATTGATTGATTGTAGACGCACCTGGGATTGCGGATAATAATATTGGAAAACAGTGGGTGATTCTTGTCTAACATTACTTTCTTGACAGGCCAGAATATCATCATTAATCTCAGCTTCAAGATCATATCTTTATGTTCATTATTTTACAAGCTCATTTAGTAACTCTCTTTAATTTATTTATATCTTTGACTGAGGATGCTACTGCAAACAATACAATAACATGGTTTCCTAAATAACAGTTTTAAAATGGAAGTGCTTCTATTTAAACTATATATAAAAGCAATATTATGGACCAAAAGAACCTCCAAAGAACATATATTTTTTTTTTAAATTAGATGATTTTCCATTTATTTTCATTGTTTCATTACTCTAAATTCCTCTAGGTGGAGAATTTGACGATATTCCGTTACCGACAAAACGACCATTTGGTAACAAGTCACGGGAGTTTATTGATTCCAAGCGAATACTTTTTGAAAAGTATCTGCAGGTAATAATCATTTTGAGATTTCCCATTGTTTTTTGTATGTTTTTTAATTGTTTTTATCATTAATTATTGCATTAATTAACATCATAATTATTTATGGTTGGTAATTTTTTTTGAATGTTTTGTCAAGTGGGTATTACAGAATGAACATGAATGTAATTTCTTATAGCTTGTATTTATTTTGATGTTTTTTCCTCTAGAGCCTTTTAACTAAACCAGTGTTGCGTGGCAGTGGACTATTACACAGTTTTTTAACACCAGGGACTGAATTTGTTACCAAATTCTTGAGTGATGTTAATATCAGTAAGCTTGTTGTTTTATGAGATTTCTTAATATACAAATTTTTGATGTTTTTCCCCACTAAATATTGGTGTTTTTCTTGAATCTTTTATTTTTTTGGACGTACAGTACTGTATTTTGAATTTTTTTATCAATTCTTTTACTGTAAATTGTTTCATCCAATCACAATATGTACGATTGCAATAAAGTTTAGTTTGAATATTTTGAATTTGAATTGATTACCTATTATTGTTAAATTTGAATTTAAAATTTAAAATTAGTATTGCAAAGTTTATTGTTCAATTATAAAATATATCATAGGTAATTAATTATGTTTGGTATCCAAATTTCAGGCAGGATGGTAAAGTCTGTACCACAGAGGCTAATGAAGGAGGTAAGCTTGATACTGTGCTTTATTTTCTCTTTTTAATAACTACATAGATAATTATATTGTGGAATATTTAATTATTATTCATTTATGTTGAAATAATGGTAATGGCTCGAGATAATCTCTGTATTCCATTTCTTCATTGATTGCTTTCAAGCCTGGAAGTCATAGATTTTGTGTGTAACACTATTAGTATTGTATATTCGTGTGAATTCGTAGGACATGTACAGGTAAAATTCAATTTGATAAAATACATTTATGATGAATGAACCATGTAGGTCCATGGTAGACATATAATTTATTATTTCTTGCTTTTTATTAACAGAAAGGGCAACATTTAGAGGCATTCTTACAGTCATTTCTGAATTCTGTTGAGGCTCCTAAACCCAAGCCAAGGTAAGAAATTTATCTCATTTTATATAGCTGAGCCTTGTTATTAAATCTAACCTTCAGGATGTTTTGCTGCCAGCAACTTCAATAATTTTGTATCTTAACACGTTAACTGCCAGCGATGAGTATACTTGTCCTACAGGGTGCTGCTGAGGGCGCTAGGGACGACTAAAATCGGGGTAACATTTATTACCTCTTTGTTATACCATGGAGGAAATATATTCTTCCATGGTTGTACATTGTAGAACCAGCACCTTAACAGCTGGTTGTTCGGGGAAGATACACCTAGTTGATAACGTACATATAACAGATGTATGATTGTTGTGTTATTTTGCCAGCAGTACACCCGATTGCATGAGTAGGGGGGGGGGGCGGCCTCTGGACATGTACCAACCCATGCAAACAGCGTATGGGACAATGGAAAATGCTGTCCTAGTGTCAGCAACAAGTTTACTCGTCCCCAAATATCTTCCCATCAATTTATTAGACACACCATTTTGATGATATGACTAGATAGAAGTATATTTGTACATGTATACCTGTTCTGCCACAAGTGAAGGAACCTACAAAATAGGTCTGGCAGTCAACGTGTAAAAACTATATACTATGGGGAAGGGAATCAAGGTCATAGTGTAATGACCATTGTGAGAAATTACATGCCCACATGCATCCTGTCTCTCTCACATGATCATTAAACAAGCATTGCAGGTAGTTTTTATCACTTTATGCTGATTGATTTTGATGTTATGAATTTCATTTTGTGAAGCATATCATCTTCTTAAATTTGAATATATGTTACACTAGGATTATAATTTTACTGTTGAAGACAACTATAAAATTCAACTGGTTATAGGGAGCAATCAATATTTGTTTTGTATACCTCATACATAGATTTTTACAAGACCTATAAATAAATCAAGATTTAGTTACAAAAATACATGTGGCCCAGTGGCATTTATTCACATAGCAAAGTGAATTGGATATTATTCAACAATAAAAATAAGCATCCAATGATATTTTCCAAAGATATTCCCTGTCCTTCCTTCCTTCATTCTTGCATGTTTTATCCCCTTGTGAACTAATCATGGTCATTGTATTTGTCATTTTTATTCATGAATATGTAATGAGACTCCTGTTTTATTCATATAATGATTAGCATATAAGCATGAAAAATGGAATGAAATAGTGTAATTTTCTAGCTTACTTTACTATAGTTTTCTTGGTTTTTTTTGTCTTTTAGTTGCGTATTTTGCAACTAATTTCATTTTACCATTAACTACAGTACTTCTTGTAATGAATATTTTTCATATATATATAGTATATAAATCAGTTTAGAATTCAATTACTTTTCAGTATATGATTTTACCTGTGCATTAACCATTAACCATAATAAGTAATTAAAAAAAATATTTTATGAGACAAACTCTTCATCTCTGCTCTAATATTATTTATATATTTATTTAGAATTTCATTACTTAATTATTTTTCTATATTTATATTTTCTATATTCATCTACTTTATTATTAATTGATTTATTTTTCTAATATTCACATGAAGGAATGAACAGTTTTATTTTGTACATTAATGAATAGATGATCAATTATATTTCATCAATTTTAAGGAAGATTATAATATCTATATAATATGGTTGGTGTGTTTTTTTTTTTTTGTTTTTTTTTGCTATTTAATTTTATGCAAATTGATTTTGCAAATCTTACACAATATTTTACTTTTCCTTTCCTTTAATTTATGCCTGGACTATCAAGACGGCAGAAACCCTTTGAGAATCTAGAGGCATTTAAAGCCTTACGAGGGCTTTTCTGCCAGTACATAGGGTAAACTGATGTACTTGTATGGCCTCAAAGTTTAAATTTTACAACCACTGCTTAAGCTGTGTTTACACTATCAAATTTTGTGTGACAAATTTTGTTTGATGTGCCCATATATGGGCATAATGATGTCATATTATACTGGACCTTTTGAAAAACAACTGAACCTCTTTCATGGGGCTCGGTTGACATTGTCATCCAGTATAAATATATTGGTTTCAATAAACAAATATTACACCTAAATATGGGCATGTCACAATTATTTGTGACATAAAATTTGATCGTGTGGACGGAGCTTAAATTTTTCAATCACTGCTTAACTGTCTAAAATTTCAACTAATCAACTGTCAATTATGTTTGTTTCTATGATTACTTTTTGTTTTTGAAAAAAAAGGATATGAAGAATATTGTTGACCTTACAGGAAATGAATTACTTCATAAAATATGAGACTACATCATTTTTTAAATGTCAAAAAGCTGTCAATCTTCTGCTTAAAAAAAAATTTAATTAATAAAATTTAGCTTTCAAAAACTGTTTAATTGCTTGTTGTAGCTTTCGTGCCTTGAAAAGTGAGACACGAATGAGTCTTTTTGGCAGCTTTTTCAGCAAACTGATCGTGACCACTTCAGGTTTTTTGATCATGTGAGGTCACTGAAAATACCTTGTAAAGCATTAAACATTAATTTAATTTTTTTTAAATATAAATTTCTTTGTATACCCTTCCTATTGCCAAACTTGGTGACATTTATCTTCATATCCTTGATTTAATTTTTTTTATTGACATGTCTTTTGTAAACAGGCACCAATTTTCCACCAAGTATTTTACAATATTTAATTAATTATTGATGTATTAATATTGCTAGAGTTGTTTTGCTTCCTAATACTAACAAATTTTGTTTCACTTTTTTGATCATGTGAGGTCACTGAAAATACCTTTTAAATCATTAAACATTACTTTAATTTTTTTAAATATAAATTTCCTTATATACCCTTCCTATTGCCAAACTTGGTGACATTTATCTTCATATCCTTGATTTAATTTTTTATTATTGACATGTCTTTTGTAAACAGGCACCAATTTTCCACCAAGTATTTTACAATATCTAATTAATAATTGATGTATTAATATTGCTAGAGTTGTTTTGCTACCTAATACTAACAAATTTTGTTTCACTTTTTGTACATTTGATTTCATTTCTTTTTTTCTAGGAATGTTTTCATTTTAATGATATTGAACTTTAATTCATTATAAAGACTTAAGACAGAAATAGGTGATATGACTTTATTCAGTTACTTTACCATAAAAAAGAGAAAACAAGTCTTGTCGCACCAG